CTTGATTTCACGGCGGCGGTTATTCCGTCGGTTGATTAAACTGACGTGGAAATATTCAGCGACCGCAAATTCAATGTCGGTTTCCAAAAGGCCTCAGATTTTTCCTACGGTCGCTTTAAACCGCCTTTAACCACAAGTAGAACCGACGTTAAATCCCTTGTTTGTTGTAGTGTCTAGTAATCCTAATTTGATGATATTGTTTCAGATTACAACAAATATTTAAATTTAGAATTTGAATCTTCTCTTTTAACACTCCCCCTCAAGTTGGTGCATGTATATCTATCATGCCCAACTTGTTTATTACTTCTCCAAAGGCTTTACTGGATATGCCTTTTGTCAATACATCTGCAACTTGATCTTTTGACTTAACAAATGGAAGTTGTATTATTTTCTGATCTAACTTCTCTTTGATAAAGTGTCGGTCTACCTCTACGTGTTTAGTTCTATCATGTTGTACAGGGTTGTGAGCTATTTTAATGGCTGCCTTGTTGTCACAGTAGAGATGCATCGGTTCATCGTGTTTAATCCCAATGTCTTGAAGAACATTTTTAATCCATAGTAGTTCACAAATCCCATGAGCCATTCCTCTGAACTCTGCCTCGGCACTTGACCTTGCCACTACTTTTTTCTTCTTACTTTTCCAAGTGACTAGGTTGCCCCCTACAAATGTAAAATATCCAGAGGTTGACTGTCTTGAAGTTTTGTCTCCGACCCAGTCAGAATCAGTATACCCCATGATCGATACATTTTGGTTGCTTGAAAATAACAGCCCTTTTCCAGGAGTTCCCTTCAAGTATCTGAGAATTCGGTATGCATTGCATTCATGTGGTCATTACTTGGAGAGTGCATGAACCTACTCACAAGAAGCATGATATCTGTGGAGGATTAAATTTGTAGATAATCTGAGGGTGATGATTGCTCGTTTGTATAATTGCTTTAATGAAAAAAAATTAGATAATGCTTGATGTGAAATTTTGAAATTAGATTCTAGCTTGAATTATAACTGTGAGGATTGAGCCTAAACATAAATATTTTTTTCAGAGAGGCCTCACTGTAGTAGTTTTCTAGAACTTGAACTGTTTCTCTAGCTTGTATGCATTACTAACATGATAAAGGCATGTTTATTCTTGTTAACTTAGAGCCAAATAGCCTACCTAGAAGAATTTTTCTATTGTTAAGCCATTTTGAGCCTTAGACCAATTTATTCAAAAACCTGATGAAAATTACTTAACCTTATTTCCATTGACACACCTTGAGAGAGATTGAAATGTTGATCCAAAGAAAAAGAATCAAGGTACTTCTCAAAAGGAAAAGTTAAGTAAAGGAAAAAGAAGAATGGTCTGCAAAAATGCAACTCAAAAGAGAAAAGAAAGAAAACATCTGCAAATAAAGAGAAAAGAAAAAGGTAGTGAAAAAGGAAATAAGAATCCTGAATGTATGAAAAGTGGCAGAATTAAAGACTATGAAGGAAGTATTGCCAAAAATCTCAATAAAGATCCTTACCCTAAACCAGGCCAAGTTATAACCTATCGAAGACCTTTTGATCAGTCTATGCATGTCAAATGGGTTCCTCAAAATATAAGAACTTGAGAATATGATCAAGCCTATGGAATTACTACTACACTGATGGAATGAGTGTGAACCCATCAAACACTAAAGTGATGAGAGTTATTTAATTATCTAGTGATGAACATTCAAGTTATGATCTGAATTCTTGATAAAACTGAAAAGCATTATTTGAAGTTTTTAACAGGGAGTTATACATGCATAGCAGTCTGATCTCTTAAGATATTCATGTTCTATGTTTATTTCCACAGAGTTAATCCTTGCTTCTAACTTTGATCTATTACATTGCTGAGGACAACAATGTTCAAATCTGGGAATTGTTTGATATGCCTCCAGCATATATATGATTTTAAGCCAAAAAGAGAAAGAATCTTGATCAATCTTGGATAGAAAGGGCTAGAATTGTTATTAAATTGATAAATATCAATCAGAGATCTTGTAACTGATTTCCTTATGATTTTGTAGGAAAACAGAACAAAAAGAAGCCTAATTTGGTAGCACAAATCTGAAGCCCCGCGCTACTGGCGCGGGTGTGGCGCTGGCAGCGCCAGAAGGACTTTCCAAGGCAGAACATCCATGCTACTAGCGTGGCACTGGCGCTAGCAGCGCCAGCCATTCAAAACTCCCACGCTGACAGCGGGGGAACCACGCTAGTAGCGTGAACCTGCAGTACTTTGAAGAAAACTCCCACGCTGATAGCGCGGGAGCCACGCCAGTAGCGTGGGAGGTACGAGAATTCTTCAACATATCTCAGACTAAATTTGAGAAGATTGGACCAAGATACATTATGAAGATTTGATCAAGATTTCTAGGAAAGGGCACAAACTCTATAAATAGAGACTTAGACCCCAGAGACAATCATCTTTGGCTGGAGAGAATAGTGAGGATCAGAGAATTGAGAGAATTCTTGAAGACTCGCGGTGGAGATCAAGATTCCACCAGAATTGAAGACTGAAGACCATTGAGCTTCCTTCTTCTTCTTCTTTTCTTTTTTCGTTTATGAACAATTTTTATTATTTGAATTTGTTTAAGTCAGACATGAATATGTCTGGCTAATTTCTTTTTGTAGTTAGGATCACGGACCGAATGTGAATTCTTTATATTTCTTGTATTGTTTGTATAAGTTAATTAGTTAGTTTGTTTTATTCTGCTTGTGTTAATTTTTCCATATCCTGATTAGAACTGACCACTCTAATTATAGGGCTTTGAAGGTTAGAACTCACAATAGACATATTGGGGTTTTAGTTTGGACAAGAGTAGAATAACAATTTGTGCATGACCTAGACATAGGCTTACATAGATTGCAGACTTTTAATTCATTTGCTTAATGCTTAATTCAAGAGGGATTACTAAGATACTAGGATTCTAATTGGGTTAAAGGGTTGAAATCACTAAGACATTAGGGTTTAACTAATTTATAGGGAAATCATGGATTGTCTGAGCAAACGAATTAGTTAATTATAAAATACAATATAGGAATATAAGGGAGGATCGGAGGTGAAGTGCATCCTGGCTACCGTCTTTTTACAATTTTTACTCAATCTCATAATTTCTTGTCATTCTTGATATTCTTGCATGTGTTTGAATTTAATTGCTTTTAAAAATTCTGTTTTTAAAATTCCAACAATCAATCACTTTCACAAATCAAACAAATTTTCTTTTCCAACTTAAGGGGAATAGTTAAATTAATACTTGGTGCCTTAATCCTCGAGGGAATGATCTTTACTTATCACTCTTATTACTTGAAACGAACAGTATACTTGCCGATTTCGCAACGGTGCATCATTGACTTTTGTGAGTTTTTGTGAGAAGGGTACGTAGCAACTAGAATTACTATTCTTTTTGCAACAAAACAAGAACAGTGGTTAGGTAACAATATTACTCCATTACCACCGTTGCCCTTCCTTCTCCAAGATCTGTCTTTTGTTATAATTGTTTTTTTTTTTAATGGAAGGTGCAAGTGCACGGTGGTGTTAAACAAACAGAAGATAAGAAGACAACCACCTAAGTGCATGGTGGTGTTAAACTACACTCAACAACTTGTCAAGGGTGGATTGTGACATTGTGACTTAGCAACTTAACGGTCCACGTCAAAAATGTTAATAACTACGTTGGAGCCCCACTAACAGAAGGACTAACGTGTGCCTAATTTGAAAAAATTGGGGACCACAAATGACCTTTTTTATTGCTATGGACTAAAGAGGGCATCGAGAAATTTGATAAGTACCAAAAAGAATATTTTCTCTTTATTCTAATTTACAAGATATTCTCTTTGAAACCGTCAATAGCAATATGGCTTGGACGAGTCATGTTTTTCAGGTATTTGCACGATCTGGGTCGGAAAATGGGTCGCATGGGTATAAGATTAATCCTGGGTCAGAAAAGGAGTTGCATAGGTATAAGATTAATCCTAATTAATGTATCAACTCTGCTCCAAATATCCTCTCCAGAATTTGAACCTTTATTTATTATTATTCTTTAACAATTCGTCGGTTCAGTGACTCATATTATCACTTAAATCACCCTAGGATTGTTATATGGCATTTTCTTGTTAGTGGGTTAACTGCTTTCTATTTTTACATGATCATTCTGTAAACGGGAAAATTCTCTATAAGTACTTGTTGCATTGTATATCAGATTTTAAGTAAGTATGATCATAATTTAATGGTTCAGTCTCTATTTAAAATTGCAAGACTCTTGTTAGAGATGTCAAAAGCTTGTGTAGTTTTAAATTTCGGCACAATCAATTTAAGTCCCATATATATATTCTCCCTACAATTAAAAGGTTAAAAACATAGCACACGTCCAAAATTAAAAGCGTTTCGCCTCTAGTTTATGAGCATGACCACATTGGATACCCACAGACATACACATGCATAACCAAGCTCAAAGACACAACTGTTTCCTTGCTTTGCGCACAACAAAGCAATTCTACAGAAAGTGTAAGAGTAACGTGGCAAATAGTTTCTTCATTCACAGTCCAGAAAAAGCCACGCCAAACCAAAGTTTGAATGCTTTCTTTCTACCACTTACGCGAATCTATTTATTCTCGAGGGTAGGTATTTTTATTCCCAAAAAAATTCTCTATTAATTCATTATATACTTATCTAAGCCCAATTGGATCATTATTTTTTTTTTTTTTAATTTTTTTTTCAATATTCTCTCTTCCTGATCGAATAATAATTAGAAAAATAATGGATTCATAGTGAATTTTTTATAGGAAGAATATCTCTCTCTTTATTCTCATATATTACAACCGATACAATATTGAAACATGTTCCTCATGCAAAGCACCTACTCACCATGTAACATCTACGTGTCATCACCCCGCAACTCCACTTTTCTATAAAAGACCACCACCTCATCCTCACCCTCACACACCATAAGAATCTCTTACTAGCTTCTTTTCTCAGTATTCTATTGTATTAGTTTACAAGTCCCTTTGCAAAAGCTTTCATCACCTATATCACCATTCTCTCTATTCACAATCACACCGTCAACCATGGCTGAGCGTACACAACCACAACCACAGCAAATCCAAGTCCACACAACTCACCGATATGACACCGGAGCCAACACACAACAGCGTTACGAAGGTGGCAACCATAACAATACCTTCTTCCCTGAGAAAGGTCCATCAACCTCTCAAATCCTTGCTGTCATTGCCGGCCTTCCGGTCGGTGGCACGCTGCTTGCACTTGCCGGACTTACCCTTGCTGGAACCCTTACCGGGATGGCTGTGACTACCCCACTTTTCATCCTCTTCAGTCCGGTTTTGCTTCCGGCCACCATTGTCATCGGTCTCGCTGTGGCCGGCTTCTTGACTTCCGGAGCTTGTGGGCTGACTGCGCTGTCCTCGTTCTCTTGGCTCATGAATTACATCCGGCAGACTCAAGGGACGGTGCCCGAGCAGCTGGACTCGGCGAAGCGGCGCATGGCGGACGTGGCGGGTTATGTTGGGCAGAAGACGAAGGAGGTAGGGCAGAAGACCAAGGAAGTTGGGCAAGATATTCAGTCTAAGGCTCAGGATACAAAGAGAACAACAACAACAACAACCTGAATGATGTGAGGAGCAAAAAATAGTGGATTTCATGTTATGGAGTTTATGTGGGAGAACAAGATGAATAATGTGAGGAGAGAAAATTAAGGGATTTCATGTTATGGGGTTTATTTTATGTGGGAGAATAAACTATGCATGTGCTCATTTGTGTCTTCTAGTCTAGTAAGTTATTTATGTCTGGTGTGTCTGGCTAGGTTGCTACTACTCTGTATGTAGATGCAATGGAATGTGTTATGTATCTTGTTCACTTAAATTGTTGAATTCAATGTGAAAGGTGTTTTAAGTTGGTTCATGTAATCCCTTTCTCTCTCGTCCTCGGTTCAACATTTCGCACAAGAAGCTCAAATTCCTTTTAGGAACCACAGTAAATCTTACATAAATCAAATTACTTCAACAATGCTGCACTCACTAGCCAAGAAGCATAAAAATATGATGTGCCACTTACATCAGCCAAAAGCTTTAGGTGAAAAAAGAATGTTTATAAGCACATAAATGTGCCAATCCTTCCTTTTTTTTTTCTTTTTCTTTTTTAGATAACCAATTCTTTCCTTTTCTTCAATAAAACATTTAACTGATATATAGTCGAAATGAACTATATATGGGTTAATGAATTAAATTTGTTAAATTCTTGATGACAGAAAAGAACATAATGGCCACATTAGCTTGTTAAAACGTCTAGCATGTTAAAGTCTAACTGTTACTCATATATAAAAATAACAAGGAAAAAAAAAAAAAAACTAAATTTGTCTGACTATTAAAGAACACTCAATGTCGCTGGAAATTTGAAGTAAATGACATTCAATGATGGAATTTACAATTGACAACATCTTAACGCATCCTCAAAATTTTGATATAAATTTAAGCAAACTAGGAAGCTAGCCAAATTCACAACACCATAGTTAATTTCTTGATGCACCAACCAAAAATTGTATTTTGGGAGAGGAAGAGCGTATTCAGTTCAATGGAGAAGTGGTTGGGGTTGAGCTCCAGCTTCAGCGTCCGTACCACCATACTCAGTTTTCAGCTTTGAATCGTTATTGGGAATCCAAAACGTGAGAACAGTTGAGGCTGCAGCTAACATGGCCCGGCGAGGGGCCCATTTCAGGCACCAAGGCACACCAATATGGCTGCTCCAACATGCCACCTACAGGGAAGAAAACCAGAGGTTGCTCATATTTTGCGCAGGTAACTTAGGATCATTGATTATTTTTTATTATTTTATACAGTTAGATTTTTAATTTTGGTTGATGATTTTACTCGTATTTAATTTTTTAGATATAAGTCTTTGAATAGAAGTGGATCAATTTGCGGAGAAATATTAAATTCTATATAGAGATGCACAAATAACACCTTTTCCGGCTGAAATCATGCTACCATTTTAACGTTTAATTCATGTCTTTATGTTCATGCTAAGCTATTTATCGAATAATGAATGCGTATATGTTTTGAATGTATAAGGAGATACATAGCAATCCTCAATCCATATAAAGGCATATATTCAAAAGTGCAATACATTATACAAGCAACTGTAAACTTATAAAGAAAGTTGGAACATTACAGCATGAACACATTGTCAACAGCAAACGTGATATAGGGAATTAAGTCAATAAAATTAAGATGATTACAATAATATTTTAAGATGATTACAATAATATATCATTTACCAAATGGATTAATGCACAACAATTCAGATGATACAAGTTAACACACTTCTGATTATCTCAAATAGTTAGCCAAAGAAGGCATCATGTTACTCCTGCCTTAATCATATCTGTCTTCAGTGATCCAAACGTTAATTTTGAGTTTTTTTGGTAGAGCTTCCTATATCTCATTATTTGCTTTCTTGTTAATTGATCATTTTCTATTCCTAAATCATGTGTCTTCAGTGATCCAAGGATAAATTATAGCCAGTTTTTAACCAAAACAAAAAAAAAAACTCCGCTTAGACATCCACTTCATTAACGGAAAAATGTCACATGTACTTCACTTGAAATCACAAGAACCCTTAATGTTGGATTAAAATAAACACTAGCAAAAAAATCATTCAAAAAAGAAAAAATTGATGTCATCTGAATCAAAACCAGATGAACAGAATCATGAAATTTTCACCGAAGAAGCCATGTGAATGAGTGATTTAACGGCTGCTCAGAAGTTTATGGTGATTATGGGATTACACAAAGTACACGTGACAATTTTCTGTTAATAGAGTGAATGTTTCATGAACTGATGAAGTTTTTTGCGCATTAAGTTCGAGGGGTTTTATTTGCACATTTAAGGAGCTTTTGTCACCACTTTCAAAATTCAGGGAATAAATTGCACATCAGCTAAAAGTATAAGGGATCTTTTATTTTTATTTTTATTTTAAAATTATACTTGCATTCCCAGTAAGAAGGGAAGAGTTGTCATTAGTCTAGAGGACACTCACGTATTCAGTAGTACATAGTCTTCTGTAATGCTTGAACAAACTAGATACTTGGCAACAGGAAAATCTAAAAAATAATTGGTTTCTAAGCATCAAGTTGGGTTTACTAAGCCATCAGAATAAAAAAGGGCTTCACAAAAACAGCTACGCACTAAAGTAATGCAATAAATTGAACAACCCAATTTATTCCAGTAATCCATCCATAGACATGTCTACATCTATGAGCTAAAGTTGATGGTTTGGACATCTTACTCAATAATATGAGATGTAATTTTAAAGTATCTTTTAAGAATTAAAATAAATTTTAAAGTATTGTAGAATCATATTATAGTATAAAATAGATGAATACCTCATTTTTCATCTCAACACTCCAAGCATGCATGGTTCCGCTTCCTGAGCCTTGGACATAACAAAATTAAGCTTAATTTCTATCCTGAGAGTAAATATATATTGGTAAGGGGAAAAAAAAAGGAAAGATGGAATTTGACACCACCACAAATATGAATTACTAATGCATGCCTGAATCCAGATAAGCAACCAACTAGTGAGCTTAAATATTATAAAGGAAAGAAATTAAGAAATTTAATCCTAATTCCATGTAGATTATTAACTAGTAGCATAGAAAGTAACTTTTTGTTCCTTAATGCAGATGCACAGCATACACATTTCAATTAATCTATACCCATCAGTTCCCGTAATTTTATTCAAAGAAACATGTATGAGAGAATACGGATCTCTTTTCAAGTTGGATAGTGATGAGTGTCATAGATACTATGTTTTTAAGATCAAAATTAGCTTAAATAATGATTAATATGATTATGAATATAGTATTAATTAATAAATGCAAAAGATATTAAGATTTCAACAATTGGATATAATTCTGATCTCTTTCATATTGTTTCAAGTTTAAAGGAATAAATTACGAATTCTGATGAATAAAGACAATTGCAAAGGATAAGGATCAAGAAAAATAAAGAATTAATCAAAATTAATTCTCGCTCGCTCGAGCGAGCAAGCTCGACGAGGACGTTCTTCTAATTCGCATTCCCTCACTCTCAAGCTTGCTTCAGCGAGCAATGTAAGCGAGCCCGTCGAATTTTCTCGCTGAGCAGCTCGGTAACAAACCTGGTCCAAATTAAAAGCCCAATTTTATTTCTTTAAAAGAGACGCAATTAGGGCTTTTGAGAGATTCACGCAGCCAGAGAGACCTAGATAGGAAACAAAGGAGAGCTCTTGGAAAGGAGAAGGAAGAAGAAGAACTCAAAGTTTCACCGAGGATCATCTTTAATTATCTTTTTCTTTTATCTATTGTTCTTGTTTTCTTGAACATGTTAGGTTAGTTCTTTTTATGTAGTTAGGGCAAGATGGAACTAATGGGTTCCTGAACGCTGTCTAATCCTTCTTGTAATTTTTTTCATGTTTCAATTATGCAATTAATCTGTTTTAAATTCCTAGTCTCGTTTATGATCTGGTCAATCTTGAATGGGCATTAGAATCTTGCATGTCAATAGGAATATTGCTTTCTTGATTCCGTTTGATTAATTGCTAGAGTTTGTATGCTCTAGGAATAGTCTTATAAATTCTATGATGCATAATTCTTGACCCTAAAGCTTACTTTAGAAAAAGTCCCTAAGAGATTAGAGCCTTGGAATAGAGTAAAGAACTGAAACCACCAAGGGATTGAGGATTCAGTCAAATTAGAAAGGATTGTTAATAATTGATCGTGAATGTTAATTGCATGAAAAATTAGACTCGTTAGGAAAACCGTTGGGGAAGTCGAATACCTAGCTACGCTTGTCTTTAATTGAGTTCTTGCGTTCTTGTTTATTGTTTTTGGTTCTTAATATTAAAAACTAAAAATATTTTCTTTGAAATTCTGTTTTAATTAATTTGAAATATTCTGAAGAAAACCTTTCGCAATCGATCCAACTTTGATAACATAGATAAATTATTGCTTGATACATCAATCCGCGTGGAAACGACAATCCCACTTATTTTTCACTATATTACTTGTACGACCGGTGTACTTGTCGAAGTCACAACAAGTTTCTGGCGCCGTTGCCGGATATTGATTTTTATCAACATTAATTTTATTAAATCATAGATTGGATCATTTTTTATTATTATTATTTTATTTTTAATTTCTGTTAGTTTAGTGGTTTCCGTTAGTTGGGCCCACTTAGCCTTAGCTTCTCTGGTTTATGCATCAGCAAGGCACTGTTAACCCTAGTGACTTACAGTACGAACCGGAGTTAGGACGATTAGAAAGAAGCAATAGGAAGCGTACATCCGCGAAGAAGATACAAGAAGCATCGAGTTCCAGTCCTGCTGAAGAACCTGTCATGTCCGAGAATAATCAAGATCCACCAAATCTGCCGAATGAGCTAATGGGGCAATACATGAACCCCAATTTATCGCATTCTGTTGCGAGTATTGTAAGGCCAAACATTCCGGCCAACAATTTTGAATTCAAGGCTTCCTTCTTGAACTTGATTCAGCACAAACAATTTAAGGGAAGCCAAACTGGAGATCCAAATCAGCACATCTCATATTTCTTGCAGTTGTGCAATCTGATAAAGGCAAATAGAGTACCTCAAGAGGCAATTCACTTACAATTATTTCCTTTTTCTTTGAAAAGACGAGCACAGACTTGGTTAGAACTGCAACCTCCAAACAACATCACTACGTGGGAAGACCTTATAGTAAAATTTCAAAAGATCATATTGACAACTTCAAACAGCTTGAAGGAGAATCTCTATGCATCGCTTGGGGAAGATTTAAAGAGCTCATGAGAAGGTGCCCACAATATGTGTTTCTAACGGTGAAAAGGTTCGCATTTTCTATAAAGGAATTTCAGTGAACTATAAGATATTGCTCAACACTGCAGCTGGAGGAAGTTTATCAGAAATCACAACCACCAGAGCTGTGGAATTAATTGAAAAGATGTTAGCTGAGGACACTGAGGTCATACCAGCATAACCCAAGAGGGGAATCATGCAGCTGGAAGGATATGACGCCATGTTAGCCAAGCAAGACAAGATGGATCAAAGGCTAGAGTCGCTTGTGAATCTTTTTAGCCAGAATCAAATTTCTGCAGTTAACTCTCAGTTTCCTATCGTTTGCGACACTTGTGACAGACCTCATAGTGCCGATAATTGTGAGGCCACGATTACTATAAACCCAGCTTATGTGAATTCTCTTTGGTACGACCAATGCAGGGAGAACAATCCTTACAACAACACTTATTATTCTGGCTGGAGGAACCATCCCGCGCTTTCATATAATCAAGGGGGCACCACAACAAGCTAATATGGGAATTCAACCAGTATAACCTTCTCCTCAACCCATCGCATGGGAAATAACTACAGAAAAATTGGCTCAGACAGCAGTAGCATCTCTCAAGAATCAAAAAACATCTATTAAGAACCTGAAAAATTAGATTGGTCAGCTTGCCAGACAGATGGCTGAGAGGCCTCCAGGCACCTTTCCTAGTGATACGATTGTTAACTCCATAGAGCATTGCAATACCATCACTACAAGGAGTAGGATAGTAAATCAACCTGTGGAAAAGCCTATAGCTGGACCAAGTTGTGAAAAAGATGTGGATAAGGAAAAGCCTGCTGAAGAGAAAGCAGATGAACCTATAGATAAGGATGTCATCATTATTGTGGATCGTTAAATGAGACCCCACGGAGGAGAAAAAAAAAACCTTCTTTAGAAGAAAGGATAAAAATCTCTTGGGGATAACCCCTATATTAAAGCTCCATATCCGCAAAGGATCAAGCAACTTGAGCAGAAGAAGCGATTCTCTAAATTCGTAGAGATTTTTAAGAAGTTGCACATCAATATCCCCTTTGCGAAAGCTTTAGAGAAAATGTCATCATATGCTATGTTTCTAAAAGAGATCCTGACCAAAAAGAGGAAGCTCATAGCAGAAGGATCCACTATCTTGACAGAGGAATGCAGTGCAATCATGCAAAAGAATTTGCCTCTGAAATTAAAAGATCCCGGGAGTTTCAGTATCCCATGCACGATTGGCTCAATAACAGTAGATAAGGTCCTATGTGATCTTGGCGCCAGTATAAATGTCATGCCATTATCTATAATGAAGAAGCTGGGAATCACGAGATAAGGCCGACCAGGATGATACTGCAACTAGTCGATCGCTCCACCACGCAAGCTTATGGAGTTATAGAGGACATACTAGTTAAAGTGGATAAGTTCATACTTCCGATGGACTTAGTTATCTTGGATATTGAGGAGGACGAGACTTTCCCATGATCTTCGAGAGACCTTTCTGAACGACCTCTGGAGCGCTAATTTATGTGCCTAAGGGTGAATTGATCTTAAGGGTGGAAGGAGAAAGTGTTATTCTCAAAATATTTGAAAAAGAAACTCCACCACCTACAGATCAACCAGAGGATGTTTTCTTTATTGAGGAAAAGAAGGCCGAGGAGGAAGACAAGAAAGATCATAAGCCAGATGAGAGTTGCAAGCTGAATGTGAAGGTGGAAAAGCCCAAGAGCAAGGAAAAACATATCAAGACTAATTTCAGAGTTCTTGAGGCCAAACCTTCTCGCCCATATGCACGAGGGTACTACTACGGCAAAGCACAATTTATGATAAAAGGGATGGCAACACCTTTGAACTCCAGCTATAAGCCACCATGACCAATGAAGCTGCAATGTCAAGCTAATGACGTTAAACAAGCGCTTGTTGGGAGACAACTCAACGGATTTATGCTTTTATTTTATTTTGCTGCATTTAGTTTTTGTTTTCATTTCTTTTGTGTTATTTTAGTTTTAACTTCTGATCTTCATGGTGATATATATTTGATGAATTTCTTATATTACTGCTTGTTTTTAATATTATTATGTGCTCCTTATTTTTAAATGTGCAGTTATTGCTGAGGACAGCAAAAATTTAAATCTGGAAATGGGGAGCATTGCCATATACAGTAGCAGTCAGATTTCCTTGTGAAGATGCGTAGAACTTCAAATATTTTTCAGATAAACAGGGAACCTTCTTTTTACTTCTCTTAATTTTAATTTTTTTTAATTTTCTCTTCTTTGTCTGATTTACTGATAATAATTAGATTATACCAATGCTAAATTAATTAAGAATTAGTCAGTGAAATTAATCCATTATATGATGACTTAGAGTATATTTTATTTTTGTGAATAAGCATTGATTGAGAAAGTATAAGAGTTAGCAGGAATATTAAAATTACAGTATGAGTGATTGAGAAAGAGCATAATTAACTGAATTGCACACCTATAGCCGTGAGGTTTTGAGCATAAACAGAAAAATCTTTTCAGTGTGCACTTCAATGTTGAAAATACTTCTAGAACTTGCTTTGTTTCTCCTTAAAATGGTTGTTTACATGCATGTTTGAAATGATTGAGGCATTTTATTGTTTTAGCTACTTAACTAAAAAGCTAACCATTATGATATCCTTTGTTTAGCCCTTTGAGCCTAGGCCTTTTCTTTTCTTAATAACCTATAGTTTTATTTAGCCACATCTACCTTAAATAGGATTGGATTATAGAAATTTCATGGTAGGGTATAACATGAGTACTATATCATGTAATTCTAAATGGTGAAAAAGGAAGTTAGGTGAATTGAGCAAAAGCAAAGGTTGGAAAATGGTGAAAAATAAAAGTAATTACTTTTTATTTTATGCAAATAAAAGTGCTGAAAAATATAGAAAATGAAAATTTAAAAGAAAAGTATTGGGAGTTGAAAAAGAAAAATACAGAAAAAAACAAAAGTGTTGAAAAAGAAAAAGGAGGAAAGAGGGAGAAAAATGATTGTTTGTTTAAGTGTTTACACTTTACCATGATCTATCTATGTTCCAATGCTTTAGCTAGTTTTCTCTTATTTATCCTTCCTTTAGCCAAGCCCCATTACAACCTGAATAAAGACCTCTTGATCTTTTGTGCATGTTAATTAATTGTGGAAAGTGAGAATATGATCAAGCCTATAGAAGTATTGATTCAATGAAGGTTTGAATGAAACACTTACCCCTTAGATAGTTGAGTGATGAGTGACTTGATATCTCTAGTGAGGGGTGTGTTGAAATTCAGTTGCTATGTGCGATTGATAGATCTCATACTGCGGTTTTATGATTTGCTTGCTTTCAAGACTTGCTTAGTTGGATGTTTGTTCTTAAACTGTTATTTTTCACATAAGTATGATCATTTATGGATTGATTTGTTGTCTGATTCTTATACTGATAATTCATTGAACACATTCTATACTTTTGCGTTTCTTTTCCTTTGCTTTAAATTAGTCCATTTCTATGGACAACAATGAATAAATCTGGGAATGATTTTATTAACTAGTAGAGTATTAACTAGTAGCATAGAAAGTAACTTTTTGTTCCTTAATGCAGATGCACAACATACACATTTCAATTAATCTATACCCATCAGCTCCCATAATTTTATTCAAAGAAACATGTATGAGATAATACGGATCTCTTTTCAAATCAAATTCAGTCAACAAGGATAGAAACGATACATTGCTTGATAATAAAATGACATCCCAATCTATGGAGTCTTAGCTTCCAAAAAATTCTAAGTCTGCCTTCATTGTAATTGTCACCTTTAGTGTGGGTGTCGCCTTCTTAGCAACCTTTAATTTGCACCTTTATAGTGTTTGGGTTTGCTGGCCCTAGATGGGGCCCACCACCAGAAGCCAAACACTAAGGGTGGGCACCTTTATCGTGTTTGTTGAATAAGATTGGATATTTGAGTTTAGCTAATCTCTATGGCTCTATTCAGGATCAGATTCTAGGTAAGGAGAAGTTGTCTTCCCTTTCTAAAGTGTTTTGCAGTGTTCGGGTAGAAAAGAGTTGGAGGAAGTCATGCTAGATGTGAAGCCCACTAGTGGGTCTACCATGACAACAGCCAAATACACTAAACAGGGTTCTCCCTCCACCTTTTCTAGACCCAACAGATAGGGATGCTGGTGTAGCCATTTTAAGAAATTTGTTCACACCGAGGAGACTTGTTTTCGTCTTCTTGGAAAGCAAGAGGTTCTAAATAAGATTGATGCTTTAAAGAAACCAAAAGAGGCCATGCCTATTTGAATTCCCAAGTCACAACAACTCCAGGGGAGGCTTCTAATGAGACTAATGAAATTCCTATTAATATAATTTACAAGGATGAGTTGGAGCGATTCAAGACCCATGTAGATCCTCTCATTAAGACCTCTGGCACCAGTTCTCTTGCTATGACAGTAAGAACTTATGCTATCATTTTTTTATTGCTCCTTGCATTACCTCTACAAAATCATGGGTCATTGACTCTAGTGCAGCCGACCATATGATTTGTCTCTCTAATGATTTTTAGTCTTATAAACCAACCTCACAAATCCATTCTATAGCCATCGTTGATGGATTCCATACATCAGTTGCGAGTTTTGATATTGATGATTGTACTTAGGCAACCTTTTTTTTATTGAGACAAATTTTACATATAACGATTGTTTATCCAATTCAATCACATGGTTCAGACAAAATTTGGCAAAAACATTTAAAGGTTGCAGTATGATAATGGTACTAAGTATGCCAATCACTGACTCTCTAAGTATATTAAGAATGATGGAAAGATTCATGAGTTCACATGTGTCGATACCCCTCAACAGAATAGGGTTGCAAAAGAAAAGAATCTTTAGCTGTTTCAAGAAACCAAAGCATTATTGTTCTAAACATCCATTCCCAACTTTTATTAGGGAGAAGTTGTTTTAAGTGTAGTATATTCGATCAATTGGTTATCTTTTAGTATCCTTGGCAATATAAGTCCTATACACCACATAACCTCTTTTTTCCATATGTTCCTATTATGCAAAGTCTGACATCTTGAGTCTTTGAGTGTGTTGTCTCTGTTCATATTCATAAACAACATCGCAACAAACTTGATCCTCGAGCTATTTAGTGTCTTCTTAGGGTAATCCCTTGACAAAAAGGAAAACATGTTATCATCCTCTGAGAAACCGTCATTTTGTTTCATAGATGTTAATGTTACCTCTTATAAAGATGAGTCTTTTTCCAACTCATCCTCATCTTCGGGGAGTGAAGATTCCAAAAGTTTCATCTGAGTTCTTTAAGTCTGAGTCCAACTTACATATGCACATGTCTCAGTCAACCCCGAAGCCTGTGCCTACTCTTCATAGTGAGTAGACAAATCTATTATCAATCAACTGAAAGCGAGTACACCTAAATTGGGGTATTGGAGGAGGATAAATCCCAAATTGATCTGACGACAACAACCAATGTTTGAACCAACAATAAGTACTGAGGACACAACTTCCTCTGTTTCTAAGCCTAGCACAATAAATATTCCTTTATGTGATTATAATTTTCATTAGGATGACTTAACCATTACCCAAAAGAAAGGGAAAAGGTCTTGTACCCAGTACCCAATCTCTCAATTTGTCTCTTCTAAAAACCTTTCAATGTAGCACAAGAGTTTTATTTCTGCCCTTGATTCCAATAGAATCCCATTATCAGTTCTGGAAGCATTGAGAAACAAAAAGGGTTTAAGCCATGCATAAAAAGATAAGACAGTGCGTTGGAGAAGAATAAAAAGTGGCAATTGTTAGAATGCAAAGAGAAAAGAAAGCAATAGGGTGCAGATGGATCTATTCACTCAAGTATTGCTGAGACGATACACTTGATAGGTATAAGGCAAGGTTAATTTGTAAAGGCCACAAATAGTCGTATTGCATTGATTATCAGGAAACATTTACTGCAATGGCCAAAATGAATACTCTAAGAATCCTATTATCGCTAGCCGCTCACTTTGAATGAGAATTAAACTAGTTTGGTGTGAAGTATGATTTCCTTCATAGTGAGTTGGAATAGGAGGTTTATATGGAAATCACACTAGATTCGATTCGAAAAATGGTGAAAATAAAGTATACGGGTTAAAGAAGGCCCTTTATGGGCTGAAGCAATTTCCCTTAGCATGGTTTGGAAGGTTTAAAAGGTTATGGTGTTCTTGGGATACGAGTAGAGTCAGAGAGACCACTCTCTTTACCAAACATTCAAAAAAAGGAAAATCTCACTATTCTTCTTGTCTATGTTGATGACATCATTATAATTGGTAGGAACTAGTTGAGAAACATATACTACAAGAAAGGTTGACAGCTGAATCCGAAATTAAAGACCTTGGGAAGCTGAGATAATTTGATTCAATACGTTTTGTGATTAACAAATTATCTAAAAAACTATCCTATCAATTCACAATTTGAATGGTGATTTGATAACTATGCTACATTTTATAAAGAAAAATGTATTACGAAGTGAGAAAACAAGTCCATTCTAAATACATTTTCCAATGCTTCTATAATCATCATATGAAAATGTTGCTGATATAGGAAAGACGGCTTTATAAATATATGATTGATAGGATGTTATACGATGCCCAGACCTAATGCTCCCTTTTGTAAATATAATTAGGTCAAGCCCTAAAACTAATAACATAATATTTTAACAGAAAATAATATAGTATATATTAAACACACTTCCAGTGGGTTTTTGTGCATATCAGCAACTAAATATAACCACGAAGTGATGCAGTGAAATGAAAAAGTTTAAAAACAAAAATTGTAAAGAAATGTGATACCTGCTACCACATACTTCCCGTCTGGGGTAAATGTAGCCTCTATAGTGGTACCAGGAGATGGTTCCAAACTAAACCCATAGCGCTGTACAAGAAGATAGAAAACCATCAACTTCTGCATATTTTGAACAAAATAAATTGCATAAGGAAAATATAATGCAGAAGCTTTGATTATCAAAGAGATTAACCTTCTCCCCTGCATATGCATCAAGAACATAAATATTGTTATTAGTAGTAGTCAGAAGCATTGATTTTCCATCATTGCTGAATTTGATATCACAAACCTCAGCTGTGTCACCACCAACTAGAAAGGTGTCAAAGGGACCCTACACTAGCAAGAGAAATGTCAAAGTTTTGAAATAATGAAAAGCAAAGGCTAGAGAAAGATTAAAGATAAGAACCTTGTCATAAGAACGTGAATCAAACAATTTAATAGCTCCGCCTTCCATTGCTACAGCAAATACCAAGCCTTGTTGGTCATAAGCAACAGCAGGTCTACCGCGTAGACGTAAGATTCCCTGAAAACTATAACAGTGAGCATAAATCATAATTTTGTCTCTCTTAATATTTTTCCTTGATGTAATGTGAAAGTTTAAATCTTTTGAAGCTCAACTATAACTGAATGCTATTATATCAGGTGATTTCTGACAAGAAGCATATGTAGAAATAGTAGCTTCTTTTGTATATAGTTTAATTAGTACTCCCTGTACTACAGCGTACTATATAGTTTCTTCACTACTATAACTAAGAATCTAGATATTCTTTTAATTGGCCCTATAAAGTTACGTAATTACATTAAATCAAGCCCCACCCCACTCCCTCACCAGGAGAAAAATACATACCTGGCAAGCATTTACACGAAGATCCCATATCCTGACACTGTGGTCTAAAGAACCAGACATGAAGCTATCATTGATCGGAGACATGCAGAGAGAAACAACTCTGTAAAGCAAGGCATAGAAAAGAAATCAGCAATACAATCATGTATAACAAAGGAATTGACATGCTCAGAATCATTAACAAACTATTGTCCTAATCTTATAAAAATTATCTTTCTTAGCTCTTAATGGTTATGAGGGTTAAAAAGGGTGGGAGAAGGGAGAGTTTACTTCTGCAAGGTAGAAAATTCAGTCAAAAAATTATGTTCAAACCTCTGTTTATGCCCTTTGAAATACCGTAGGTAGCGGTTATCATACATCGATAAATACCGCAATGATTCTGGCACACACAAAGAAAAAGAAGTCAATATTTGCAGTCGTAATTTGTAGTCATTCAAAATTATGTCAAATCAAATTGTCATCATATAGAGAAGCTCACCTCCACTAGACTCCAAATTGTACCTTGAAGAACATATAACAGAGCTTGGGTGATGAGTAAAACATATACGATCAGTCCCATGTTTCTTATGATAAGTGGTTTTCAACAACCTGGAATTCATGGTAAAATGCTTTATACATGCCTAAATGCTTAGAAAAAAAATATTCATTTATGAAGTAAATCTTGTAAACTCTATCATTTATTTGACAAACCATTTCCCCGAATAAAAGACCTTGATTGGTCTAGTTAATGATGGCCAAAAAATTAGTATTAACCAATTAAACTTCAGCAATAAAACAAATTTCTTTCCAGGCTACAATAAAAAAACTTAAGAATTGATACGATTGAATAGTTTAGCCTTCAGAATTCATAATTTAACTTTGCAGAGCTTTTTCTTTCTTTCTGATTTTATTAATCTAGATGACTTCTCAACATTATAACGTATGAAGTGCTTCAAGCCAGAAGAGATTATTGTAAGAGGGTCGTAAGTTTGAAGTTCCTTAGATCTCTAAAATCATCATGGCTAACATCCTAACTCTTATTGATAAAACAGCTAAATTAATTAAAATTACATTACAGATATATTAATTATCAAACAGTAGCTTTATGCAAAAGCAAGTGTCAATAACACTTTGTTGATAATAACCCTTTATGACTCCTTTCTAGTGCATCACATCAGCAACCACTACAGCCATTTGCAAAAGTTTATACTAGATGTTCAAGAACATAGTAGTATGTCAGGATAAGATAAAACCAGACTGCTTCAGTCAAAAAAAACAAATGAGCATTATACACTTCACTTTTACTATCAACTAGCAAACCTCTTTCCAAAAGAAAAATGGAAATAAAAACACCCACCATGAGTTAAGGGCATATGTAATACTAATAGCAGCACAAGACACAAGCATATCATAATGCTAAGACTAAGACCTACCAAATGGTTAACAATTAAAAGAAAGACAAAGACAAGCATACCATGTCCACAATTATCACCAACTACTTGATTCTAGATTAATATTCTAAAGCATAGATTCTCTTCTTCCATGTAACAGTTAACTCACTTAGCATTAGCAATGTCATAGAGCCGCACCGAGTCATCCTCACTAGCTGTGACAAGTAAATCATCCTTACGATGGAAATCAAGCGAATATATCTTCCCACCCTGAAAATATGAAGATAAATGAACCTTAAAAAGAAGACACATTTACAATGAAGCCATCATTCCCATGCCAAGAACAAGATCAAAGGTGACATCACAAATTGATGGGACATAATTAAAAGGGACAAAGGGATTGGTTGTGAAAAATATTCAACTTTTAAATAATTTCAAATTTCCCACACTTCAAAATAATGAAATTCTTCTCTGACTTTTAAGCCATCATTCCCATTGGTTTTTCTGAAAGTAAAAGGTTAACCTGAATAATTTACTCAGCAAGAGCAAGGACAATAAAGTTCAAACAAATTCTTCTCTGACTAATACAGTAGTGCTACATTCAGAATGATAATAATCACACCTCAGCAGACATAAAATTACCATATCTTCACCCAATCGCAACTTGTGAGTATGGTGGAGAGGCTCAAATCCAAAACCGGATTAATCGAGTTCATTAGGATTTTAGACAATATACCCAACAACAAAAAATTACCATATCTTCTCTCTTCCCCCCTTCCCCCTTCTTTTTTTGACACCAGATACAAATTATTCAATTCCAAAGTGAGCAGAAAAGAAGAGATTGTAACACATTTTTGTTTAAAAAAGAAGACTTCATAAAGCTCTAATTGAAGTGACCACAATCAAATTAACAATATCTATGGCACTCAGAGCAATACCCTTTATTAAAGACAATAAATTGATGAATAACAGAACTCTAAGGGTGCCCACATAGATTAATTGACCCTAAAATAGAACCAATTTTTCCTTAACAATAAGAAGCACAAGGGTGGCCAAGCAACACTGTAAGGGTACTGAATTAAAACATAGAAACATGAAATTAAACGGGAAAAGAAAAGAAAAAGAGGAATTACAAAGTCGGAGAAAACCGCTCCTATGGACATGCTGCGCACCGTATCGTCATCAAGCTCTTCAAGGGACGCAGTCATCATCACAGAATCAAAGAGATAGCAGAAAGGAAGTAGCAGAGGAACAAAACAATCAAAAGCTGTCTTCTTTCACAGTTTGTTTTACTTGGGGTCGGAGAGGTTGTGATATTCATGCCTTTTATGTCTTATTTAGGAATTAGTAATCTATTTTGATCCTGAAAATCTTAAATTAATGCCAGAGATATGATAATGTAGTATTTATTATTTACTTAATTAAGCGTAGATTTTGATTGGAGCAATTAGGATTAATTGCGATTGTTGTGTACAACATCAGATTAGATGAATTTGGAGGAAAATTAAATAAAATAAACCGAAAAAAAAATGAAATTTCATTGTTACTAAACCTAATCATGCGAGAAGAATGGAAGTAAATCGGGGGATTTTTTTTATAAAATAAATGTAAAAATTGAAAAATAGCTAGGGTGAAAATCGAATGTCTACAATACCTGCAATTAAATAGATTTTGATATTTTATCATTTGAGTTAAAAATATGAATTTAATTTAATCTAATTTGAATTGAGAATTGGTTTTTTATACTATAATATTATAAATGAATTTATCAAATTTATTGAAAATAAATAAATAATTTTATCAGAATACTTTAAATGCAAATTTGAATCCCTACCAAAAAAAAATGCAAATTTGAACGAATTCATCAAAGAATACTCAATATAAATTAAATTTTAAGTATAAATTTATATTATTTATTATCTAAAAGGTAGAATCAAACTTGACTTGAAGTATAACTTGGAAGTTGTTAAATACTTATTAATATATACATATATATATATATATTTGTATATATATATATATAAATTTGGAAATAAAATTTCAATTTGCTATGATCATAAAATTCAGGACGTGTAAATTTATTCATATTTTATGGAAAGGAATTTTATTTTCAGTTTAGGGAGCGTTTGGTACAGGAGAAATTTTTATTTGTTCGGGATTCTCGATTTTCAAAAATATGATATTTACATTCACTTTACGATAATATCTGAAAATTTAAATTTAAAAAAATTCAGTTTCCCGAAAATTCGAAAAAAATCCGTGTACCAAACTGCCCCTTAAGGAATTTAAATATACCACTTGGTAAAATCCAATGATGGTAATTTGACAATAAATCCTCTCATATTTTAACTATTTTTGGATAAAATAATGATAGTGAAAGATGAGAAAAAAAAATATTGAAATACAAAATGATAAAATTATCACCATTGGTTTAATTATAAATAATTAGAATTTTCTCACATGATGTAATTATATTAGTTTTGCAAACAAAAATTATTTGATTGATAAAACAATCCTCTCCGAAATTCTTTCTGATCGGACCAGATTCAGTATGGACTGGCCTATATGTATAGAGCCCAATCATACATGGTTGAATCACTTTACGTCGTTGTTGGCCTGGGCCTAGTATTGTTGTCGGACTGATCTTGAGTTTTGTCCTTCACGTTGGCACGTTGCACTAAATGGGGGTACCTGCGAAGACACTCTGATGCTTAAGTTAATATCAGAGGCATATGTGTTATCTTGTTAAAGTAAAGGATGATCGTACCTTGGTGATATATCGTGTGTTTATATAGTAACTGGGATGCCGCCTTAGTTGAGGCGTCTTGGCTTTTGAGTGGCCATCCTTGGGCTGCAAGTTATTTAGGGGACCTATGTAGCCTTATCTTCCAGAGGGTCTAGTAGTAGATTTGAGGCAAGCTGGAGCTGTTCGTTGTTTGATGGAGCTAAGGCGCGGTGGAGTTACCTTGAGCCTTACGTTTACCTCTCTTAGAAGGTTTCATGCGCGATATGAGAATCGAGTCTTGTGTGCCGCGATGAGACCATCGCATCCTGTATGTCGCGATGGGGATATCGCGTCTGGAACACCGCGATGTGAGCATCGCGTCAATGCTTGTTCCTTGTGCTTCGGAAGGGCTTGAGCTTTCCTTATGGGGCTTTGATTGGGCCTATATTTTATCCGGATCACTTTCATTGTCAGACATGTTTCGGAATTTCAGTTCACATTTATCACCCTGTGGTTATATTTTTATCATTTATCTCCCTATAATTGTTTTCATCTGGCGCATTTTTTTTACTCTGTTAAAAATTAAATTAAACTATTCATTTTAATCTTATAAAAAGAATCATTGTAGAGATAAAAAAATTTATACATGAATGTTGTTTTATTCTCATCCAACTCTGATTTTTTTTTAAAATTTATACCAAATTATCAAAAAACTTTTCATCCCAACGAGGTTGAGAGAAAAAATTACAATAAAAACTAAAAGTTAGCAACTAATTTTGATCGTCCAATAAGATAATATTCACAACATTGTTAACAAGAACGAATGCTTAACTTAGAACTATTATTTTTCTTCTTATAAATTTATATATCTTTAATAAAATTGATTTGATTTGAGTTTTGATAAATGAATTAATATCATAAATTTAATAAATAAAATTAAAGATTATTTAATTAATCAATTTATATGCCAATATATTTTTATACTGGGTTCAAAAATTAAAAAAAAAATGTCAGACAATAACAAAGAAAAAAATGTTGAAAAAAATACTAATATATTAAAGAGTAGATTGGTCTATTACTACACAATACTCACCAACATTACATGCAAAGCAATGAGCAAATACGAACAGATGAGAAGTGCATTGACAAAAAAAAACAGGAAAATCTAACAAAATTCAAATAAATGAGGGGTCGATTGAGTTAAGGTAGAAATAGTTTAATTTAAGTTAAATTCTACATATTTTGATGGTGTTAAGGGTTGGAACATGTAATATACATTTGATTATTTGCCTTAGTATTATAATAAATTAACAATATATAATTTATTGTGAAGTTGGATAAAAAATATATATATTACACTAAAATTTTCATCTCAAGAAGTTGACAAAGGTGAGTAGGAACACATTAATAGATAGTAATAGTATAGTAGTGATTCTTTTTATAGGGGCAAAATAGATACTCTAATTTTATTTTTAACAATGTTAGAAAGTGGACTGGATCGAAAAAATACTATAGGGGTAAAAAAAAAATCATAAGAGAAACCATAGGGGTTTTTGTTGAACTTTTCCCTATATATAATTGATGAGATTATTGCAAGCATTGAACCTTCTAGTGATTTTACTCGTACCATATTCCAAAGTGTAAGGATACGATAGTTGATAATTGTGAAAGACGTCTCACCATGTTTAAACTCAATACTATTGGATATATTAATTATATAGTTCAATAGTATGTTCACATACAAGCCTAATAGGTGAAAGCATGTTTATTTAGGTTCATATAGATTAGAGCCCAATAACTTGCATTATCTCTAGGGTTTCTTAAGCTGGAGGTAACACCGTTGAGCACTCTAAACTTGATGTCTCTTTCAAACACCTCTAAACCCTTCTCTCTCAAACTCATTACCTCTAACAATCTTGAAATATTAGCTTCATGTGTTGGATTTGAGCAAGTAAGTTGTCTATTCGAAGATCTCATCGAGAAAGACTCATTTTAAATCACTTTCGTAATTCGACGGAAGGATTTTTCAGGATTTGAGTTTGAAGATACTGCAGTTGCAACCTTTCAGTCCATATCCCAGAAATTTTAGCCAGTTTCAGAAAGTGAAATCTATTGGGCTTTTTCTACTCGTCGAGACGATTGTTTTGAGTGGTCACTCACCTTAAACAGAGATCGGACGAAGGAGATATGGCGATCTGAAGTTTCTGGTACACTTTCTTGCAAATTTTAATAACTGGGGAATATTCTAGTGAGTTTCCAGCAACAAAGGTAGTCCATCTTAAGGTTTTTGGGCGCTTTGAATCTGTTTTTGGAGTCTCTTTTGAAAAATTCCAACTCTACATAGCAGTTTGACAAAATTAGAATCTTTGAAGTTCGTGGACTATAAAGTCACTCTTTCTAACTTTTAGCTCTGATTATAAATGACTAAATGTAATTCTTATGATATTCTAAAGCCACAATCATTTGATGTTATTGAATTTTATGGTAGAAAATTACATGTTCAATTTGGCATAAAAATATGAAATATTCCATAATGTATTAAATGATTTTGCATCTACAGTTGAAAAATGTGGATGAATATCAATAGAACAAAGATAAAGATTGTTGTAGGGATTACTTGCTAAATTCTCTAAATCTTCATCTAGCTATGACTTGTAGTGAATATAAGGCGATGAAAAAAATATGAAATCACTTGAGTGCTTGGCTCTCCAAAACTCTCGTAGCAGAAAAGTTCTTTGAATGCAAATTTAATAGGAATTCAGTTAAATAAACTTGAGAACATAAGGAACAAATTTAATACGAATTCAGTTAATTCAGTTAATTGCAGTGGTGATGAGGCAAATGTGACTCATATTGGAACTGCAAATTTGGTTTTTTCTTTAGATAAATTAATAACTTTAAAACAAGTTAGAGTAGTACATTTACTTAAAAAGAATTTGATTTCTATGAATTTGCTTAAGAAAGCTGATATGCCTTTTCAACTATGAATGACAGAGTAACTTTATCTGTTAACTCATGTTATTTTGGTTATATGTTCAAGGTTAATGGTATGTATAGGTTGAGTTTAGATACTGAGAGCATAAACCATGTGAGTTAAACTTTGATTGATCCAAAATTGTTACATGATAGACTTGGACATGTGAACTACAAGAAAATGCAACATCTAGCTAAAACTCATAATATTCCATTGGGTGCCTCTATTCGATTTGACAAATGTGAAGTATGTTTACAAATTAAGATCACTACAAAACCTTTTAAGTCGGTTTCCAAAAACACATAACTTCTTGAGCTTATACAAATTATGACCTCTGTGACTTTAGAAATTATGTTACTAGAGGTGGTTAGAAGTACTTAATAATATTCATAGACTGTTTTTCTAGATATTGTCATGTCAATTTGTTGAAATCGAAATATGAAGCTTTTGAAATGTTCAAGATTTTTAAGTCAAGAGTAAAAAATCAACTCAACTTGAAAATTAAGAGATTTAGGAGTGATAAAGGAAGAGAATACATAATGACAAGGTTTAAGGAATTTTTTGCTTCAGAGGACATAATACTTGAAACCATTGCTCCTTAGTCTCCCCAACCAAAT